CATATGATGGAATCCCTCCAAGATTCCATTTCTGGAATCTCCCTAGGCCTTGTGTGTCTTGGTTTGAGATAGCATACCTTACACCAGCCCTCAGCTGCCCTGAGTAATTGCAGACTTTACATCCTTCTCTTTCTCCTTCTGGTTAATTTATCACAGAGACTAATTTGGCTGGGAATCCAAATTAGACATATCTTCATAGTTGTCATCAATCACACCCCTTAAAAGTGCCTCTGTTTCCCAGGGCTGGAATATCTCAGAATGTCTGACAAATGCCAAATGCTACTGTGTGTCATTTTCCTTGGGTGGGTGGGCAGGGAAAGATATGGCCACAGGGACTCTGTCCTCTGTAGGATGCCAACCCAAGTTAATAGCTTGAAGATTCTCTGAGGGCCTGAGGAGATGGAGAGGTTTGAATTTTCTGCCCCAGAGAAACTAAGTAAGGACCTCTGGGTATTAAGGCTGGAAATCTGTGTAATTCACCTGCTGGCCAAACAATTGTGCTAAGTTTGATAAATCCTGGTACATTGCATCTCAATATTCCCCTGCTCCCAACATGGGTCTTTCGATGACCACTGAGCTGAACTGACTCCTCTAGTGTCTTGGCTTTCCCCTGTTGAGTGCATAAATCCTGCATTTATTTTAAGAACTCCTTAAGTCCCTATAATGCCCACACAGTTGGATGACTCTAGACACAGGTTTGCCTCATCCAGAGAGAGTTGACATCTTTTAAAATATTTTAATTTTATTATTTTTAATTATATGCATGTGTGTGGAATATTGATATGTGTATTTGTGACCAGAAGCGTCAGGAGCTGGAGTTATAGGTGGTTGTGAGCCACCTGACATGGGTGCTGGGAATTGAACTCAGGTCCTCTGGGAGAGCAGCAAAGTGTTCTTAACTATTGAGCCGCCTCTCCAGCCCCAAGAGCTGGCACCTTACAGATCAGGCAGCAGTTATCACGTTTCCCATAAGCTGGGCACAGTGTAGGTCCAGCTGGGACACACCTCATCTTACTTTGAAATGTTTTGAAGAAGATGGCATTCTTGCCTGCAGCCCCACCGAAGTGTATCATTAACTCCTCCAACCTTGCATCAGAACGGGAAGGAAGGTAGTTTAATGCTCAAAGATGACAAGGAATTGCAAAACGCATCTCAGAGAGGAGGCCAGAGTGACTGGCTGTGTGATCTCTGGGGAGTATGCATGGGGTTTGCTTTGAGAGAAATAAAAACCATTGTGATTTCCCAGGCAGTTGACACATTCCAGCCCCCCCCCCCCCATCTAAGAACCTGTGCATTGTGTGCCCAAAGCTCATAACATCCTCTGAAATTCAATGTCATTGTCATTAAAAAAGAAAAGAAAAGTTAAGGAACTTTGCAGGGCTCAATGGTGAAGAGCATTTGCTGCCCTTACAGAGAACTGGAGTTCCCAGTACCCAAGTTGAGCAGCTCCCAACCTGTTCTAGGGCACTCAACGCCCTCTTCTGGTCCCTGTGGGCACTGCACTTTCATGTACACACACAATTTTAATTTTTTTTTTTTTTAAAGTTAAGTAACTTCTTGAAGATCTCCTGGTTCCAAGTCACACTTCAGTATCGAAACACAGGAGTTTTCTTCCCATCATTTCTGTGTTTGGCGTTTGCTCTTCCCACCTCCCTGGCACCATCTGCTGGTGAAAGGCAGCATGAAGGTGGCGACGCCTGTGTCTCACATCCCTCCAAAAACAAAGGCCATTTGGATTTATTTTCACTTCTCTCGAGCAGCCTTTTTAAATAGTTGTCTTCGTATGTGCCATCTTCTGCAACACACTAGCTGGAGTTCGATGGTTTTTTGTCTTGTGTCTTCTGTTTTCACGGAGATGAAAATGTGACAGTCACAACACATATGGGATCATCCCTTTGCGTTGTCGACACTTCGCAAGAACATGGTGAGTTGCATCATTGTTACTCTCACTAACAACAAAAGCGACAAAAAGCACAACCGTGGTACCCCAAGGCCAGTGGCATATCATATCTAGCTTAACACCTGTCCTTGTCACCATGGTTATAACCTTTCCCTTATAGTGTTTACAATGTGAGCCCAAGAACCAGACTTTCTAGGTTCCAACTCAACTGTGAACTTGCCTTATGAATCTAATGAATTTTCTTTCTTTGAAATATTTGTGTGTGTGTGTGTGTGTGTGTGTGTGTGTGTGTGCGCGTGTGCACATAAAACAGTGATTTTTATTATCAGCCATCCCTCCCCACCAGGAGCCATTCATCACAACTTTACACATTTTTACCTTAGTCACTGACCTCATGAATTTTCTACTTAAAAACTTTGGGTCTTTCTTTAGTACCGATTTACATAATTTTTTCTCCTCCCCACGCCTCCTATGTACCCTCTCAAATTATTGACCTTTAATTATTTTTACATATATTCATACACATAAATATATATATTCACACACACACACACACACACACACACACACACACACACACACACACACATATATATATATATATATATATATATATATATATATATATAAATACCTGCTGAGTCCATTTAGTGTTTCTTGGATGTACACGTGTTTAGGGATGGCCACTTAGGGTTGGATAACCTATCATGAGTCTCATCCCTGGAGAAGACCGAACATCCCCCTCTTAGCAGCCATTGATGGCCTATAGCTCTTCATCTAGGGGTGGACCCTTGTGAGACTCCCAACTATGTTGCCATGCGAACTGGTGTTGTCATTGTGCAGGTCTTGGTTAGACAACCATATTTTTCACTTCATATGTGATAGTTTGATTGAGAATAGCCCCCCATAGGCTCATATATTTGAATATTGGGTCCCCAGTTGGGTGAACTGTTTTGGAAGGATTAGGAGGTGTGGCTTTGTTGGGGAAGGTGTATCACTGTGGATGGGCTTTGATGTTTCAAAACCCCACACTATTCCTAGTTAGTTCTCTTTCTGCCTTGTGCTTGTGAGTCAGATGTGAATTCTCAGTTACTGCTCCAGGGCCATGCCTGCCTGCCTACCGCCATGCTCCTCGTCCTGATGGTCATGGATCAATCCTCATGGAACCATGAGTCCCTTAACTTCAATTATCTATCATTTGTCTTGTTTGGTCATGGTGTTTCATCATGACAATTGAAAAGTAACAAAAATAAAATGTATCTTTTACAAAGGCTTGTTTAATTTTTAAAAGAGAGAGAGTGTGTGTGTGTGTGTGTCTATGCCATGTGAATGCAGGTTTTTGCAGAGACCAGAGAGGGCATGGGACCCCCTGCAGTTTGAGTTGCAAGTGGTTGTGAGCCACTGATGTGTGTGCTACGAGCAGACCATGGGTCCCCTACAAAAGGAGTATGCACTACTAAACCGTCTCTCCAGCCCAGTGCACTCTGATCCTATTCACCCCTCTACCCAACCTCCCCAAGAACCTCCCCTAACACCCCTAATACCCCTTGCTCACCACTTCACCTCCTCTTTAAAAAAAATTTATCCACTGCGTGTAGTTTGAAGTACCTGTATGTGTATAGGTGTGGGATCATCTGTCAGGGAATGGAATGGACCTCTTAGCAGTGGTCATGACCAAAGAAAAGTCACTCTCCCTCCATGAACAGCCATCAACTGCCAATGGCTCCTCAGTTAGGAGTAGGGAGGCCTTCTGGCACAGTTTTTTATATTCTTTATCATGCCCCATGGAATTGTAGTTACCAGGATCCCAGCAGACTCTTGAATGTACCGAGGATGAGGGGATGAGGTTAGGTGATTGGTGGATGCTGATGGGGACAGTGTAAAGGTGGATCCCTCTAGACATCAATATCTTCCAGGCCCTACTCTCATAGAGGAACCCACCGAGAGGCTCGGCCTCTGCAGAAATCACAGTCTGGAGCTCTCACAACAACATCTGTGGATCTCAGGGGATGTACATTTTTCCAACTTTTGGATCAAGGGATGAGATTTTTTAAATTGGTACGAACAGCACAGATGGAGGCTGTTTTATTTTATGAGAATAACATTCTCATTATTTTTAGAAGGGATAAGAATGATTGCATAAGAGAAAAAAGTACTCTTTTATGTAAGAAACTTACATAATTAAGAATCATCACATTTCGGTCCCACCCTTCCTCTGTTATTTCCATTTCTCCATGACCTTGTGTGTGCTGTTCAAATGTAGGAAGGCCGGCATGTGTCTCTCTCATATCTCCCACAAAATTCACCCTGCCGTATGAATAAATATTGCCTATTTTTACCATTTTTTTGTTGAATTATGTTACCAAATGAGATGTTATGCGTAGCCTCGTGGGACATGTTTGATGACCAGTAAAGTGAATCTCTGAATATATTCCTAACAAACGTGTCCCACTGATACTGCGGTCTCTGAATTCTGACAACTTTGGGCGGGATTGCTTTAATAGAATATAATGTACAAGCTGCCTGGAACACTCTGATAAGAATTCTGAAGGCTGTTGAATGTAAGGACTCAGTACACTGGGCCAGAAAAAAAGAGAGAGGGTCTTAATTTAAAACAGTTTAAATGCTTGTTAGTAGGAAAATGTGCAAAATGAAGATGAGAGCCGTGCCGTTTTGAAGGAGGAGGGAAGAAGCTGGGAAAATAAGCAAGCTCAAAAGCCAGCAAGCATCAGTCAGCTGTTGGGATCCTTACAGGGACATTGTTATCCCCAGGCAGAAGAGATGGGTAACTTCTTAAGCAGTCATGGTTTACCTGTCGCCTTGGGTGCAGTTAAATATGTCTACAAGTGGGTTTCTGGGTCAAAGCATGTGTCTACCTCCAGTTGGATTAGATGTTGCCAGACATTTCCTATATGTGGTTCTTGCTTCAAATAGAATAAGAGAGAGTTTATTCTGGAGCCAAATATCAGTGACCACAACTGGGGAACACGGACGCAGGTTATGCCCGATTCCAGGTTCCAACGTGCAAGGAGTTTCCAGTTTCATGTTTTTTTTTTTGTTTTTTTTTTTTTAGCAATAGAACAAAGAAAGTTAAAAGAAAAAAAAAAAAAGAAGAAGAAGACAAATGCCCTGATGGAAATGTCAAAGGCGGTTACAGCCAAGAGGAGAGATCTCTCTGTTCTAGGCCTCAGATGCTGTCTGATGAGACTCAGCCTTTTGCCTGATGGAAGCTGGTGGTCTGCTTAGTGAATACATCCCCAAAGGTTTTTATTCTTAGTCCCAAGATAACACAGAGGTGGGCAAAGAATGACTAACTGGTGGGAGGGGCAAAGGGGGCCCAAGACGGTTTCTAATTAGGCTGTGTACATGCAACGCCCCAATCTACATCGTGGCAGTTATTTTTCCTTAGCTTTGTGTTTATTATGAATCATCATTATGGCCGTTATTATTGTGTGTGCATGGGTGTACGCAGGTGCATGCACGTGCCTACAGGCATGTGGACATGCTATATGGCATGCATACAGAGGTGAGAGAACAATCCTGCAGACTTGGTTCCCTCCTGTCACCTTTATGTGGGGTTTGGGGAGGGAACTCAGGCCATCAGGCTTGTGCACCAAGCTCCCCACCGAGCCATCTTGCCTGCTTACCAGTTAATCAGCCTTGCCGATGACTCAGTGTAAGGAGATCTTTCTAGAAGCTTTCGATCACATTTCTTTTTTTCAAGTTTTTTTTTTTTTTTTTTTTTTTTTTTTTTTCCGAGACAGGGTTTGGAGCTTGTCCTTGAACTCACTCTGTAGACCAGGCTGTCCTTGAACTCACAGAGATCTGCCTGACTCTGCCTCCCGAGTGCTGGGATTAAAAGTGTGCCCCACCACCGCCCGGCTTGCTCACATTTCTTGTCATCCACAGGTCACATTTTCAGACTCGGCTATTTTCTAGCGTGCTAGTCGCTATGAGACGCTCTCACAGGCAAAGTGACATTTGTCGTACTCCCAGTGAAGCTGACTCCCTGGCTTTATACATTTGCAATTCCTTTGGTGAATAACACATCAAAAAGCCAGCCAGCTCCCCTTCTACACCTGGACCATGACTCATTGAAATGCTGGAGACTCTAGGCCTCTGGTGCCCCGTGGATAAATGAGACCAGCAAAGAATTCCAGAGAATCGAGAGTGAATTCTTCAAGGTGAGCTGGGACTATTATACTACAGCCCTAGGGAGAACAGATCAAAGGAAGTGTTTGTGACTATTTCTTCACTTCCCAAATGTATTTCCCCATGTAAGGGGAAGACACTGAGGTCTGTAGGGGTGGTTGCCAGGTGCTTTACCCTGAAGCGCCGCCCCTTGTGAGGCAGGAGGTAACTAACAGGTACCTGCCCCCCCCCAGGGCGTGGCCCAGATGGGGGATCCCTTAATACCCGGAAGGAGTATGTGCTCGCCCGCCCTCTCTTTGATACCTCTTGGTCTTGGACATTGGTGCTGCCGATCAAGGCAGAGCTCTCCTGAGAACGGCGTAGGACCGCGCCCCACTCCTCCTAGATTCCGAGACCAACTCAATTATATTTGTTGTGAGTTAAACCCTGAATAAATTCCTTCGACCTTCAAATAGACTCCGTGGAATTTCCTCAGTAGAGGTCATAGAAAAACAAGCTAAAATTCCCCCCCTTTGTTTTTTAAATATTTGTCTAGGCAAGTGGCTGTGTGGCCCCACATAATTTTCTGAACTTTGAGGTCAGTGATAATCTTTAAAAAATTACCTTTTTTGTTGATTAGTTTTATCTCGAACTCTTGATTTGAACACATGAATTTCAAGCTGCTGTTTCTAAGAGGAAAACCAGGCAGGGTCATTCAGTTTGCTGAGAGTCAGGAGAAAGGGGGAAGGTAGGATGTCCAGGGAGGGGGAAATGACAGTCTGACATCTGGAAACCCCCTTCTGCTTGCACTGGCTGTTGACACCAAGAATGGCCATAACTTTGGTGAGGTCTCAGCAGGGAGACAGTGGTCGGTGGTCCTGCAGGTGAGTCTGCCTGCTCTGTTCAACTTCTCGCTTAGAACTAAAGATACTGGCTATGAACTGTGAGATTTTCTTTGGTCTATGAATAAAATGGAAAAGATAAATATATATTTGGAATGAAATAGAAAGGTTATCCCCATTCATATTGATTTACAAACTAATTATTAGAAAAAAAACTGTGGTGTGTGTGTGTGTGTGTGTGTGTGTGTGTGTGTGTGTGTATGTGTGTGTGCATGATTCACTCAAAATAGAGGCTACTCATGTCTCCAATCTAAGCCCAAAGGAGAAATTTCAGTCGCCCAAATTTCAAGTCTGTTGCAGACTTTCCCACAGGCCTGAAAGGTCACATACACCTGAGAATTGAGGAAGGCCACATAGATATCTCTGCATTTAGATTCAGCTGGTTCAAATCCTGCCCATATGATACTGAGTGACAACATTTATGAGTCTCAGTGTCCTGTGTAATCCGCTGTAGTTATTAAAAATGACGTTGTAGGGCTGGGATGATGGTTCGGTGGGTAAAACACTCATCACGTAATCATGAGGACCCGAGTTTGGATCCACAGCACCCAGGTAGAGCCCGACAGGGGCGCAATCCTCTGTGATCACAGTGCTCCTATTGTGAGATGAGAGATAGAGACCGGAGTGTACCCCAAGCTCCTTGGTCTTGAAACAAGAGACTGTCTCACACCAAGCGTATGGTGGGAAGTAACAATGAATGAAAGGGATGTTCTCAGACCTCTATGTGTCATGGCACATACAGGAGTGAACGTGCGCACACACACACACACACACACACACACACATATTTTAAATTATGATCACGTATTTTAACGGTTTAGTGTGGCGCATAGAGAGAGAAAAGACACCTCATTAATGGTCTTTAAAGAGATGAGATGAAACATTCAAGGCTGGTTTCTGTGCAGAAGTTACTAATATCCGACTAATCTAAGTGCAGGTCCTAAGGGATCCCACCCCACTCAAGCTGGATAAAAACACGGACTTGTCTTTGTTGTTGACTTTGATCAACAAGTGTAGAGGCGTTTCTTTTTTTTTTTTAAATCTTGCAAGCTGAGAGATATGAGCAGAATTTCTGGCAAATGATAATGAGTGTTTTGCATAAAATCTCCATGTCTTTAAAAATCTGGAAGCGTGTTGAGGGGAGAACTACCACGGTCTGTAGATCAAGGGAGTGCTTTGGGTCTTTTCAGATCGTCACGCATCTCTACACACTAGCCAGTCTTTGGAGATTTTGAAGAGACAAGGGATGTGTTCTGGGGCCAGGGAGTCAGGAGGTTTAGAAGGTGAAATGCTCACCTTGCAAGCTGAGGACTTGTGTTTCATCCCCAGAACCCATGTGAAAAATCCAGGTGTCGTGGTGTACCTTTGCAATCCCAGCGCTGGAGACAGGTGGATCCCTGGGGCTCACTTGTCAGCCAACCTACCCCGTCACGAAAACCAAGATGGACGGCTTCCTGAGGAGCAACCTCTGGCCTCCACACACAGGTATGATGGAGAGATTGTTTCTGTGAATCTTTATGGTCAAATGTAGATTCAGAAAGTAATGTCTAATCACGCTTCTCAGATGGAAAAGGCTTCATATTTGCTGAGAGGATATTCTAGTTGGTGCCAAAGAGTCCCTGGTGACATTCAGTGTGTTGTGTCTGACGTGAGCAACATAACCAGAGATGGTTCTATCCATTTTCTGCTCTTAGATAAAAGCAGTTATGGAGTCTTTGCGTTCTCTCTCTCCCATCTCCCTCCCCCTCCCCCTCTCCCTCTCCCTCTCTCTCTCTCTCTCTCTCTCTCTCTCTCTCTCTCTCTCTCCCTCCCCCTCTCCCCTCTCTCTCTCTCTCTCTCTCTCTCTCTCTCTCTCTCTCTCTCCCTCTCCCTCTCCCTCTCCCTCTCCCTCTCTTTCTCTCTGATCCTTCTCTCCTTTCCCCCTTCTCTGTCTTTAATTTTTGAAATTGTAAGTAGCAGAGATGCCACAATAGGGTGGTGGATTTTAATGATTCAACACTTACTGAAGGCAAACAAAAAAGAAAATCTAATGTAAAAAAATAAAGAACTGGTCTTACTCAGCTGACTGCATCAGAGACAAGACAGTGGGCCTCAGGAGGGGAGAGGAGACAGAATACATATCTCCTAACAGGTCTCTTGTCACTCACTGGGAAAGGGAATGCTTATCATCCTGTCTGTCTAGACTTGGGGGTCTCAGGGCAATGGATAATGAATTCTGATCTCGTCATTCACCCAAGAGATGAAGAGACAGAAACTGCAGACTCTGTTTCTCCCTGTGACAAACAAGTAAAAGCGTCACACAGAGGCCACGAGACTATGTGGACAGAGCCTTAGGCATTTTTTTTTTAAATTTCTATTTTTATGGTAAGTCAGAGGATGAGAACAGGGGGATTCAAAGGGAGCTTTGCGGGAGGGATGTGGCTCGGGTGCAGTTCAGCACCATCGGATTGTAGTTACTCACCAGCAGCTAGCCGTGAAGGCATGTGCAGTGACGGCTCTCCACAGCACGCCTCTTACTTATTTGAAGCACAGAAACATGGTACTGCAGTCTTTGCCCCGTAGCAGGGTGTCTTCGCCAGTTCGTTTTCTCTGTATTTTTTTTTTCTAATTTCATAAGTTAGGACAGTATGTGATTTCCATTTCTGCTCTTGATTGGCCCTTTCCTTTCCCAGAAGGTAATTGTTCCTTTACACATCGTTGGTGGGAGGCTGGGATATGTGGGGCAGACAGGTCTGTGGGGTCCCCGAAATGTGGCCTGGGTATTCATTGATTTAGTGAGCTGCTTCCCCCTGGGAACCTTGTTTCTCTCCACCTACTTTTTACATTTGTGGAGTGTATAGGATGAAAGCAGGACCTACCTCCAAGGGTCCTTGAGACGAGCAGAGAGAGAGACTCCTGAGACTGTATTTTAGTGTATGTTGCATGCATGTCGTATACATGTGTGTCATATGCATGTTAGCAGGTGCCCGTGTGTGTGTGTGTGTGTGTGTGCGCGTGCGCACGTGTGTGTGCGTGTGCCTGTGTGTGTATGTGTGTGTGCATGTTTGCATGTGTGTGTGCATGTGCCTCTGTGTGTGTGTGCATGCATGCATGTGTGTGTGTGCGTGTGTGTGTGTGAGACAGAGAGACAGAGAGACAGAGAGATCTCTGTCAACCATTCTCCCACTTTATTCACGCAATCAGAGTCTCTTAATCAAACCTGGAGCGCCCTGATATGGTCAGTCTCACTAACCAGCTTGTTCTGGGGATCACCTGTCTCCACTTTCCCAGGCTGGATAACAGATGGGCCACCACTCCCTTTGGCTTTTACCTAGGTGTCTGGGGATTTGAACTCTGGTCCTTCTCTGTGGAGCAAACACTTTAATCTCTAAATCATCTCTCCAGCCCTCCAGCAGCTGTATACTAGGCTCTCAGCCAATATTAATTATAACTAGTGTCCATGTGAATTTTGTTTTTGTACTTGAATAACAATTCTGTCTGCGAATATAAAGATCAATGCAATTCTTTAATGTCCTGCTGTGGAAAGCCCTCTGGGTGGGCTGAGGTAGAGCCTGGCATTTGGGTGTAATAAAGGCATTGTTAAGGACTGGAGTAAAAATTACCTATTCTGTAGGTGATTGACATCCACCGTTAGCAAAAGCAGAAGGTCCCATAGTTGTAGTATCCCTGTCAATCACCTTGCCCCACCGGTTCCTATGACTATTTGTGCTGTCCCCAGCCATGTACCCTGTGAAAACAGCCAGCCTGGTGGAGGACACTGAGTCGTCTATGAGAGGCTCTAGAGTGACAGTTCCCAACCTATGCGTCATGACCCCTCTGGGGATCAAGCAACCCTTTCACAGGGGTTACGTATCAGATATTTGCATTATGATTCATAATAGCAGCAATGGTACAGTTACAAAGTCGCAATGAAAATAATTTTATGGTTGGGGGCTCACCACAACATGAGGAACTGTATTAAAGGGTCGCAGCGTTAGGAATGTTGAGAAGCACTACTCTAGAGAGGCGAGTGGAACTTTAATTCAGGGTCCACTCTTACGATTCCAGCTTTAGCCCAACCCACCCAGAGCAGGTGGAGCGCAAAGACTCAAGAGTAAGACAGTGAAGCCGTTGTGACTAGATGGCTCTAAGAAGCCTCTTTGAGGATTTGAGGTGACAATTCAGCAGCTAAAGCAATGGCTGAGCAAGTGTGGGGACCCACGTTCAGATCCCCGGAAACCCACACAAATGCCAGGTACGCCTGGTGTCCGGCTTGAAACTCCAGTCTCAGAAGGCACAGTCCACTGGGACATCCCCAGAGCAAGCTGACGAGAAGTGTGCACATTTCGGGGATCTTTGAGTTTGGTTAAGAGACCTTGCCTCAGCGAATGCAATAGAAGAGCAGTGTCATCCACCTCTGGCTGCCACGTACATGCATCAATGCATGCACACATGCAAAAAATACACAACACATACATACATACATACATACATACATACATACATACATACATACATACAAAGATGGAAAAAGAAAACAAAAATTAATCCGTTTTGGCCTAGTAGGTAAGATAAAAAACCACAAAAGACTCCAGGTGAGCTCACTGTTTCTGCTCCCACAGGTAGCAGCTACTTATGCAAACACGCAGCAAAAAAGGGCAGGAAAACTTGCATGTGGTTGTTCAATCATCCCGCCCCCCCCCAACCACAACCCCTTCTCCTCCATGAGCAGGCCCTGGGAATAGGAACACGGTGAATGGCCCTGTGCCAGCCCCCAATGCTGTGTGTGTCGATTAATTAAGTTTTTCTCATCTCGTCATTCCCAATAAAGGAGTTTGAAATGAAAACATCTCATTCACAGCTCAGGAACTAAAATATTTTAGTCACAGAGAAATCTGCTTATTTACGTTGTAGGAAAGGATGTGTCAAGGAGCCAGGAATCACTCCAGTCTGTTGTGATCTGGCGAAACGTCTCTTTGCGCATTTTGAAGGTTTTCATAGCACTTTTTTTTTTTATAACATACACATTCTCACTTTCTCTCCACCCATCTTAATATCTCACCTATTTCATAAATATCAGCCCAATTTTAACATCCTTTGCGAACACATTTTCTATGGTTAATGTTACTTTTCAAGTATTAAGCCATTTCATAGTTTCCTGCTTTTATCTGGAATAAAAAGTAACATCTCCTCCTCGCTGAATCGATGTTTGGATTTATCCAAGCATCTGTACCGGACCATCTCATGGGTGGTATATTCTTGATTTGGTTTTCTCTGTGTGATTTGCATTGGCTAATTGGATTTTGAAAAATCTGACGGGGAGATGTGTGATCTGCATAATTGCCTTTTCCATTTGCTCTTTCAGGTTGTTTGTTAAAAAAACGGTGTGAGATCGCACAGAGCTGACCCTGAGATGCCTCAGCCTGCAGTTGGAAAGGGGACTCTACGTCAAGACCCACAGGCCTGGAAACAGGCTAATGACTTGTGCAATTCTACGTGGAGTGATTGGTTACCCAGCAGTAGCTCACTCATGAGCAAATCTTGATCTCTACTTTCTCCAGTAGCTTTTTACCCCAGGTAAACCTGGTGGAGAAACACACAGGTTGTAACATGAATGTTATAATGGGCAGACACGTATTTATCAGTCTATGCATTTCAAATCTAATTAAAGGGCTAGAAACTATTTAAAAAAATCTCAATTCTAATTACTGATAATGAAAATTGATGAATGAGGTGAAATATATAATAGTTAAGTGAGTACACACACACACACACACACACACACACACACACACACACACACACACGATGGAATTGAAGAGAATAAACTTGAACACATAAAGACATACATCTTCCAACATGAAAGACAAGAAAGTTTATAGTCAGAGATGCATGGAAGTAAATTCTGCAACCATTCCAGAGAGAGACTCAGAAGAAATGGAAATTGGGATGTTTGAAAAAAATAATACCCAAAAAATGTTCCACTTGAATGAAAATAATAAATTCCAAATCTAAAAAGACTAATGTACTTGAAGTTCAAAAAGCATGAAATCTTTATGAGGCTCATCATAATGAAGTCTGAACCAGCCATAAAAAAGAAAAAACATGGAATCAACTGGCTGGTGTCCTCATGTATGTTCCCCTGGACAGAGTGACAGCAGATTTATCACTGAAATATTGCAAACAAAAAAGCACTGAAACCAAATCCAACAGTACTGAAAGCTACAAAGTAAACCAAATAAACTTGGCACACAGAATTCTACCCAGTCAATGTCTCCCCCAAACTAACACACTATAAACTATTCCAGGCGTACAAACTAATTTATAAACAGAAGGCATTGCTACAAGATTTATTTTTTGAGTTCATTTTTTTCTGATTTTTTTGTTAATTAAAAATAATTATATTTATGGGACATTGTGTTATGTTTTTGTCTGTATTTACCATGGAAAAATAATTAAATCAGATGGATAAACAAGTGCATGACATTGACGTCATATACTGAAGTGTTTGTGGTAGATGGAGAGAAGTCTCAGCCATGAAGAGTGCTAGCTGCTCTTTCCAGAGGACCTGAGTTCAATTTTCAGAATCCACATCAGGTGGCTCACCATTCCATCTCAAGGGCATCTGAATCCCAGCCCTCCTCTCCTCTCTTTGAGCATCCCCCTTCCCACTGTGCACGGACACACACACACACACACACACACACACACACACAATTAAAAATAAAATAAACCTTTAAAATAAAAAGAAACTGATAAAATTCTACTAAGACTTGTAATTTATAATAACATACTGATGTTGATGTTTGTGTTGATCGTTACATCTTGGTTGTGTTAGGTGAGACACAGATGGAACTGTCTTACATTTTGAGGCTAAATCTGAAGTTATCTTATTATAAAGCAGAAGAGGACGAAGCAAGTGTGGCAGGTAACCAAGGTCGCTCTAGGGCATAGCACAGAGGAATCTTGCGGATTGTGGATGTAACAACTGTTTCCATAGAATGGTGATTTAAGTAAGAATGTCCCCAGTAACAACCCTTTCCCAAGAATGGTGGAGTGTCTCCCCAGTTGGCTCCGGTGTTTGAACACTTGGTTCCTAGCAGGTGGTGCTGTTCGAGGAGGTTCTGGAACCTTTAACAGATGCAACCTGGCTGGAGGTAGTATGTCACTGGGGGCGGGCTTTGAGGGCTTATAGCTTCACCCCACTTCCTGTTTTCTCAGCGTACTATGTGTGGTCATGAAAACGTCATCTCTCTGCTTCCCGTCTGTCGGATCAGCTTCATGCTCCTGCCGCTCTTCCTTCCCCGTCAGGATGGACTGTGTCTCTCTGGAACTGTGGACTACAATAGACCCTTTCTTCCTAAGATTTCTTTTTAAAATCAGGGTGTTTTATCACAACAACAGAAAGGAAACTCATAAACCTGGATAGTTAATAACACATTCACACTTGAAGGATGAATAGGCACTATCCAGAGCGCCACGCACTAACACTATATCATTCACTAAACTCAGAATGGATGGGCACACACTAATTTTAACGCCATCTGAGGGAAACAGACAAGTCTCATGACTCTTTCTCAAGAGTCTCTCTCAAACATGACTACTACCAATAAAACAGTAATTTAATTTTTTATTTTTGTGTGTTGATGACTGAACCCCAAACCCTCACACATGATAGGCAAATGTTGTACCTCTGAGCTACACTCTGATCCCAGGACACTTTCTCTTCAAGAGAGGTTGGTCTGTCTCATACCAGCATCCTACATCAAGCATCCCTTTGTGACAACGATTGTTTGGGGGCAGCCTCCATCTTCTTTCCCAAGACCTCAAAGCCTTTGTTAATAACTAACCAGGGTTAGAGTTGAATCTGTGTTGCAGGTTTGAATTTTCCTTTGAAAACTCATTTCTACATTGCTTCTCGTGTGATTGAAATTTTTTACTTTATGTGGATGTTTCACCCCACCTATTTCAAATAACTAAACTATTGTGATGAGCTAAGTTAAACTTCCACCTGATAGCTTCCTGTTATCTCCTGACCAGAACAGTTCGGTCACATCCAAGTTGGGTAATAAGCAAGTTTTTTGTTAACAGAATATTATTTAAATGCATGATAATAGCCTGCTAATATTAACATTGTAGTCTGGGTAACAGCATCAACATGATTATAGTAAGAATTGGTGGTGATGGAGTGTGTTCACATAATGACAAGCACTTCAGGTTCATGATTCTTTGCCCTTTTTAATAATAATAAAGACACTTTTTAGTTATATGTGTATGCATATTTTGCCTCCATGTTTATGTATTATGTATATGCCTGGTGCCCCCAGAGGTCAGAAGAGGGTGTCAGATCCCTTGTAACAGGAGTTCTAGGCTTTTGTGAGCCAACACGTGGTTTCTAGAATCTATCCCAGGTCTTCTGAAAGAGCAGCCAGTGCTCTTAACTACTGAGCCACCTCTCTGGCTAATAACTCAGTATCCTCTCCCATCTGAGTACCTTCCTTTTTTGTGACTTTTGAAAACAATATTCTCTACATAATTGTGATTGTCTGGACCAGAGACATCCATAGCTCAGCAAATATAAGAAAATTAATAAGAGAAAGACGTCCTATTGAAATCCACTCTGCTGTGCTGGAAATGGAGACAGTCATAATGAGACCTAGACTCCTCTTTGCTTTGAGGAATTGAGGTAGATGGGATGGTGAGTGTTAGCCTGCTTGTTTCCTTTTCTTCTGGTCTCAGAAAAACATTCCCAGCATTCATTTCTAACAAGTTGTTCTAATGCTCCTGATAAATCAGAACCCCACTGATCTCCTCTCAGAATTCATCTTCATGGAACAGAAAGCCTTGGAAAGAAACAACAGAAGTATAGGGTTGGGCTTGAGTCTGAATTCTTTTTTTTAAGATTGTTCATGACATCCCAGGTCTTCTAGATCCTCAGCCAGGCTCCTTTTTAATGAACAGTTCTAGAGGAGGTAGATAAGACTTCCCTGGGTGTGCCATATTAAGTCTAAATATTGCCATATCAATTAACACAGTCTTTCAGATAGCATAGTTGATACTGGCTCTTTGATTTTGATTCTTGGTGATCTCCACATTTAGTAAATTCCACTGTGGGACATGGGTCTCCCCCATTCGTTATGTGGAGTGTACGTGGATGTTACTCAATCTCTGTTGAGTTAATGATACCATGTGGGTATTGCACACTCATTTGCTGCATTAGCCTCCGCTCTACAGACAGGTTTCTGAGGCTATAGTACAGTGTGTGTGTGTGTGTGTGTGTGTGTGTGTGTGTGTGTGTGTGTGTGTGTGTGTGTTATACTCAGTTGTCCCGGGCTTGGTCTTGAACATATGATTATCAAATTCAATTCCAGAGGAAACAGAATTAATATCCAACCAAAGTACCAAATTAGCAACCCCTCACCCAGAGCATTGTGGGATTGCTTATTTCCCTAAATAACACAGACATATTCTGTCTTCATCACAATGGTATATTTTCCTGTGCAATATAATTTTAGATTTTCAGATTTTTGCATACCTTCTTAATGAGACTTATCATCAATACAAGCAGGAAGCACCTTTCCTTTCTACCTATTTCCTAAATTATTAATGTCCCATGAAATGAGACAGCATCGTCAAAGCTCCTTCTAGAGGAGGACTCCCCAAGTGACAAAGTTGGCTGGCCACATAAGACAGACTGTACTTACATTTTTCTCATCTTACTATGTGACCAAAACACGAGTGTTCAAAGTAGTGTTGGCCACTAGGCATCCAGATATCATAACTCTTCTGACCTGGATAAGAAAACAGAATTCAACAGGGTAACGGGCCTAAGTTGGTCTGAGGTTCGTCCCCACGGTATTTGCGCTGCTTACTGGCCTGCTTTCCCTGACTCCTGGTCAGGCAGTTTTCTTATACAATTCAGGACCACCTGTCTAGGAGGGATGCTGCCCACAGTAGGCTGGGCCCTCCCACACCAGTCAGCAATCAGGAGAATGCCCCATAGATGTGCTGACAGGGCAATCTGATGGAGGTAATTCCCCAATTGAATTTCCACCTTCCCAGGTGGCCTGGGTTTTGTCAAACTGACAAGGTAGATTAACCAGTGCACGCACCCTCACAGACACACCTGGAGGTCTGCATGAGTAACCTCCCAGGTGCTTCTCAGTGTAGTCAAGCTGAGAATAATCACCATACATGTCCCCTCAGTAAAGACATGTCCCTGTCCTCAGTATATCCTTCTCAAAAACACAGCCCACCTTCACTGTCCACTTGGCTTCTTTGTGTGTGTTACCACCTGACATGTTGGGTATTGATTTCAGTGTGGTCTACCTCACTTCATTAGAGAATAATAGTACAAGCATTTTTACTCTTCTTCATTGCTGTCATTGGTGTCAGATACATGCTCAATATTTTCTTGTTCATTAGCAGATGAGTATTATCGCATTCTATTATTCCGTGCTACTTTGTGGCTACTGTGGACGTGCATGGATAGGTCCATGGCTGAGACAGAGGAGTAATGTAGAGACGATGATCACCTCTTCCTGTCCTGTTCATAGTGGGAGAATGAGCATCAGAAGAATTGGATTCCTATTTTAGAGTGCCATCTCATGGACAAAGAGCAGCTTCAGCTTTTAAAGATGAAGTCCTGATATGCTCAATCCTGTCTGTCTGTCTGTTTGTCATCTGTCTATCTATCATCTATCCATCCATCATCCATCCATCTATCTATCTATCTATCTATCTATCTATCTATCTATCTATCTATCTATCTTATATATCTATATATATCCACCTATATATGAATCTATCCATCTGCCTATCTTGTATTTTCTGCTTATGGTTCAATCTATCATCTTTTTATGAATCATATATTAATTATCTATATAGCTATCTATTTATCATCTATCATCTATCTATTTATCTATTATCTATGTGTCTGTCATCCATAACATATTAACCTATCACTTTTCTGTCATCCATCCACTCACTTATGCACCTATGTATGTATCTATGTGTCTATGTATGCATGTATGAATGTATGTATATATGTATGTATGTATGTATCCATCTATCTATCTATGCTCTATATACATATCCATCAATACATCACATTACTTCATAACATTACTAGAAGTGATGCAGCTATAACATGAGCATAACGCTTCTTACCCCCTGCATATATACATTGGAGTGTCCTTATTGTTTTCTTGTTCTCTGCTGAGTTCAGATTAAATAATAAAAGCTAAGAGACACAGGCAGAGGAGAGCTGGGTTACTTGGCATCTGAATACCTTTCTTTACCATGAGAAAAGGGGGTATTAGGAAATACCTAGAATCCTTCATCTTGCTATAGAGCTAACAAATGGTTAGCAAAGTGGTAAGGAAGAAATACAAAATAATGTAAATATAAACACATGAAATATAAGGGCTTGTGACATGCTGTGTTCATTTCTTTAACCATTTCTTTTAATTTTGAAATTATAATGTACCTACATTATTCCATTCCCCCTTTTCTTTGCCCCTCCAAACTCTCCCATATACCCATCCTTTCTCTCTTTCAAATTCATAGCCTTTCGTTGTTAGTTTATTTTCTTATAAATGAACTTATCAAAAAGCAATGAAAATTAAACGAACTTAGTTTAACCTAAAATGGGTTTTTATGGTGTGACTGAAAGAAATATTGTCTAACATACCGAAACCTATTTACTTAGGTCATATAAATCAAGTTATTAAATGCCAACTTAAACACACGCCCCTCAGACTAATATTTTGGCTTTAATGAGAAACTGATATGATCTAAAGATGAGCCCCCTCTAGCCACATAACAAAATTAGCTCACAGATCATCTTTTTAGATAAACTTCAAATATGGACTTTTGTCTTCACAGACATCTGACTTAACCATTTTTAGAACTGTATTAAATATCAGAGTACCTAGCAGGTGAATTTTCTTTTTCTTGTCCTGTCTTCTTGGGGGCACTTTGACCTGATGAGGAGTGTTGAGGCTGATTAATATTACATTAGAATTCAAAGAATTCAGAGGGAGGCAGGCAGCTTGCTAAGAGCTGCCATTTCCCCACCGCCTCCCTAGTCTCCTCCAGTGCCCATTCTGCAGGTAAGTGTAAACAGAGGTAGGGAAACGTGGGGCTCTCTGTCATGAGCTCACACCTAGGAAGTAGTTAAGCTAGAGTGTAGACATATAACCTGAAAGCTTACGGAACAATGGCTTTCATCACACGAGAGAGATAGAGAACCCAGAAACTGCTCTGTCTGAGAAGCTGCAAACCTCAGCAGCCCCACACTGAAGGCCTGGAGCTCCCAGGAGAGTCACTGTGTTAAATCGATGCTAAAAGGTCAAAACTGCCATAATCTTAAGTCCTGGGGGAAGGCAGCAGGAGGAAGGGCCCTCACTCATTGTGCATGGATCTTACATGCGCCATAGTTTCCTCTGCTCCCAACACTTTACTATCCAATATTTCCTACTACTAGCGCCACTTACATTCAAGGTAGGTTTACCCTCCTCAGTTACTGTTCTACGTGCTAGTCATCCCTGGAAACACTTCATAGGTACTTCCAGAAGTACACCTCACTAGTCTGTGGCATTTTCAATCGCCTCAAGCTGACAGTCAAGACCAACCACAAGTCCTAAAGCCAAAGGTCCTTGGGTAGGAGACAGTGGTTCACTCTCTATGGCAACAGGTTTGGAAAGTAAAGACCATGATGCTATAAACAGAAAAGGTTGGGATGCAAAGGTGACCAGAGCAGTATCCACATACGCATCCAGGAAGTGAAGAAGCATGTTCATGAAGGAGCAAAGGCCTATGGGATACCCAATATCATCTATATATGACACTTAGTTGGCAGTTAAAACATGCTAGATATTATTATTTTTATAGCTTCCAACCACCAAAGTTTCAAACTTTCCTTATGTATAACAGACTGAGAATAAAGTCAAGAAATAGTTCAGTTCCTTGATACCTTTCATCAGCTGTGATGAGAATATGATTTTTTTTCTTGTGCCAAGCAGGTGGTTAAAATTAAATGTCCTTGGAGCATTACAGTTTCATCTGAGCCATGAATCAAACTTTTTTACCCCAATATCACTTTCATAAATCTTGAATATAAAATACTCACAAATTGACTTGGTTCTGGCTTTTAG